ACCTTATTTCTCTAGGCACAAACAAAGTGCAATTTGAAAAAAAAAAATTTAAATTGATTCAAGGCTAAAGAGGGTGTAAGGCAATTTTAGGCCCTAAAAAATAGTCATAAATTGGCTTTGACCAATGGAGTGGATGGACAGCATGCCCAACAGAAGCATAAAAGCTTTTGACTATTTTCCATGCATGTGGGACCACAGGGAGGGTACATCTTTTCACCCCAAGCACCTGTGTCATTACACAAGTGGAGAGAGAGAGAGAGATGATTGCCTTTCAAACCAAATGTTTGGGTGGGGGGAACATTGTCATTCGTTTTGATAAGTTGGACGTTGTATGGAAATAGCAGTTTACATTTAAAGACAGAGAAATGATGAAGGCAATGGGGGGTATGTCTATTATCTTTTGACACTGCAAAAGCATGAAATAACAATACTGGAATTAGGGGAGCAGAAATAGAAAAAAAAGAAAGAGAAACCTAACTAAATAATCGGTAACATTATTTGTCTAAACATAAAAAAAAAGAAACTCTATGACTAAGTAAAACACAAATACCAAGGATCTACAGGTAGAAGATATGAAAGACCAAGGGATTATTTACTCTTATTTACACCATTTGATAATATTTAGATAGTCTCATTCGATGAGAATAATGCCTTGAATATCTATGCTAATAGTGATTTGCAGACCCTGAAGAAGAGAAATCATCTCAACCTGGTTGGCCATGGTAGAACCACATAGCCCAACATAAGAGAAGATAGTGCTACCTCATGATCTCTAAGAAGACCACCTACTCCAGTTTGGCCAACATTTCCCAAAAAAGTTCTATAAAAATTAATTTATAAGCACCTTCAAGATGAGGGGTCCAAGTGAAAGACGGGTGGTAATTTGGAACATATTTGTTCTTGAAATTCTTCTTCCATCAACAGTAATAGAGAACCAGTCCCATAAGGCCTGTAAAATTTTATCTTAGTCTGTAAAATTTTTATCTTTAATGTCAGCAAGATCCAAAGACCTCCATGCGTATATTCTACTCTAGCCACATCTGTCATAAATAGAATTTATGAATATATTCGAAATAATAGTTCCTATTTTAGGTAAAGATGCTGAGATGATAAATAGAACTTCTGAAGATATTCGAAATAATAGTTCCCATTTTCGGTAAAGATGGGAAGCTGAGATGATTAATAATTTAAATGAGATCTATTAGAATGATAAGAGTGATACCCAAAAGACTGAAAGCCCACTTCCAAATATCATATGCAAATGAGCAATGTAATAAAAGATGGCAACAATTATCTTCATCGTTCTTGAACATGACACCCATATCCACATGACAGACAGATTTTAATAGAAAATAACCTGTCACTTTCACTTTCCCATATAACCTCATATTTACCTGTAGGCGAGATATAAACATCCTGAATGATAGATAATAGATTTTGAAATTGTGAAATGACTTTGCATTATGTTATAGCTATATTCAACATTTTATATGGAGGCCCCCGAAAGTGAGCTAGAAAATAAATCTAAAATTTTTGCTGTCGGAGAGTTTACTCTCTTAAAAAGATCTAGAAAGAGAAGGTATAGGGGCTAATCCTCGTGCCACTTATTAAACTAGAATAAAATCTCATTATCATTACCAATGAACCAGCAAGAATTACCGAGCACCACATTTTTGTAACTATAAATTCAAATGAGTGAAATGTTCAAACCGTACTTTGCCGCTAGACATTTTTCCATAGTTGACTAGGGTCTTGAATGATTATCCACCACCACTTGTCCATAGCTAACTAGAGCCTTGAATGATTCTCCACCACCACTTAGAGAGAAGAGCCCAATCCGTATATTTAAGCTTGCAAATTCCCAAAGCACCCATTTTCATTGGAGTGCAAATTATATCCCATATTACCAAATGAAATTTTTTATGGTCATTATCGAAAGAAGCCCATATGAAGTTACACATAAACCTTCCAACATCGCTTGCATTTGTTGAATGGACATGAGATAAAGTGGTAGATTTGCATAGGTGGATCTAACAAAGGTAATACGGCTTCTTAAAGAAGGTTCAGCTTTACTAGATACCGTTGGATTAGAGGGTCCCACACAGACTTAAAAAGCCTCGAATTTGAGACATAAACCCCCAAATGGGAGGCATGCATATCGATCAAGGTGTTTGGGAATGGGGAGCATGGTGTGTAATGACTTATGAGCATCGAAGGAAAAATCCGGCGATTTAATCGACAACTGCCTTGTTAGATTGAAATCGGTCACTGGTCGGTTTTGGTTTCAGCTGGTTTTGATGACTGGCCAGGTATTTTTAAAAACAATTTAAAAAAATTATATAAAATCCCAAAAAATAAGGAATTTTATTTATGATGCATTTTTTAATGTTTTCATCAATATGGCAAATATTGGAAATTGTTTTGGCCATCAATATTTATTTTTACATTTTTCCATCTTTTTTGAAAAATTTAAAAAATACCCTTTATATTTTTTCATCTTTTTTAGAAAATTTAAAAAATACCGATGAACACAAATCTGATTCTTTAAAATCCCTTTTTTCATCAAAACTTTATTTGGATAGGCTTTGTTTATTTTTTAAATATGATTTCTATATTTTATTAGATTTTTCTTATATTTTTTAACACTTTTGTTTTTTTTGTACTGTAAGAGATTCACCCACTTATAAAAGTTGAACCGAAGGGTTTACCGATTAGACCGGGTGAGCTGCTTTTAGCCCATATCGGTTAACCAATCCGTTTTAATTTTTTCTACGCTGCTTTCGAGAGAGAATTTCACGAAAATTTAGAGAGAGAAACATTAAAGAAAAATTTAGCCGGACAACAAATGAATGGAAAAAGGAGGCATCGAGAAATCGAGAGAGAGCAAGAGAGGACATCTTGATAAATAGAGAGAGAGAGAGAGGTGCGAAGCAGCCCATTGAGTGAAATGCTGAGGAGTGTACAAAAATGATTGCATTTAAAGAGACCGATCCACCATCCATCCTCATGTTTGGGAACCGGGAACATCGTAATTGATGAGTTAGGGAGAAAATGTAGAGAGAGAGAGAGAATTTGGAAAGAACGCGTGGCTGATCGATCGTACAGGTGTTTGGTGATTAAAGAAGAGAGACTCCAAAAGTAAAATTCGGAGAGGAGATCGAGGTCGATGGTGCAAATGTACGGTGATTAAAGGAGAGGGAAAAATTTAGAGAGAGAGGGACAGGTGATAAGAACAGAATCAAGGAGAGTGAGAGAGGGGAAAACCAATAGGGGTCGCAATAGCCTTGGCCCCTATGCCTATGGGGGCTAGCCCTGTCACTGTTAAGGTCGGATCGTACTTCAATATCAACACATTATCACAGTTTTTTTTTTGAGAAAATTATGTGAACATCTGCCATACTTTTTGTTATTACGAAAATATCTAAAGTCCTTTTCTTATTATAGAGATGTTTGATTTTTAACTTCATAACAGTTTGTTTTTTTAAAAAAAACAAAAATTGTAACCGTTTATTTTCAATTTTTTAAAAACCAAAATTTTTTAAACTTTAGTTTTTGAAATATTTTAAATTTCGATTGTCATGCATGCTTTTATTCTTTCACATCAAGAGTTTAATAAAAAAATGAATATTTTTTATTTTATTAAAATGTTAAAAAAAAAACTTCATTATGAAATGAGCGTGGTTTTTCAGTTATCATGCATGCTTATGCACTTTCACATCAAGGATTCAAGTTCCTCTATACGCAATCTAATTGTTTTAATAAAAAAATGGATGTTTTTATTTTATTAATAAGCCAAAAAAAAAAAACCCCACTATAGAATGAGTAGGTCTTGAAGAAAATCATACTCTTTTACTAATATACTATTTAAGTAATAGTGATAAAAATGGGTATTTTATTACATATACTTTATTTATTATTATTATTAACATGTCATATTGCAAGCAATAAAATTCGGTTTTTGAAAAATCGAAATGTTTTAAATTAAAAATTTCGGTTTTTAAAAAATTGAAAATTAAAAAAAAAGTCGATTTTTCAAAAACAAAAAATTGATTGTTTTATCTTTTTTTAAAAAAGTGTTACGAAGTTGAAAAATCATACATCTGGTTAATAACAAATTTTTTTAGGTATTTTTGTAATATCGGGAAATATAACGAATATTTACATAATTGTCTCTAATTTTTTTCCAATTACTTGGGGTTGGATACACGAATTTTGGTCCGTTATTATGTTTTATTCAATGTCATATTTTTAGTGAGGCCATCATGTTTTTTCGAACTACGTTCAACGACGTCTTTCTTGACCTACTCTGTGCCTTTTTCAATCTTTCCACTTGAACTAACTTGCACCTCTTAACTTGGTCGGTGCCACACATGGCTAGCCTACCTAAATCTACTATCTTTCATCTTATCGTTTATTGATGTCACACCTAAATTCTCTCGAATGGATTCAATTCAAATTCTATCTCTCATTGTCATGCCATTTATCTATCTTAACATCCTCATATCTACTACGTTCATTTTAAAGGTATATAGTTTTTATCTGCCCAACATTCTATCTAATAAAAGTAAAGTTGGTCGCATGTTGTCATATACAACTTGTTGTTCAGCTTCAATGATATGTGGTAGTCACATAAGGTTTCAATTGTACATCTCCATTTTGTCTATCGAGCTTCAATTCTATACACGACATCTTCTTCAATCTCTTTACGTTCTTAGATTATCCATCCAAGATATTGAAAATACAAAAAAACCGGTGCTTTTTTTGTGCTAAATTGGGCTCTAGCCAGGCCCTCAATTACCGTTGTAGCTCATGCCCTATATTTTATTTTTATTTTGCAGCGGCCCGGCCCATTGCCTGCCCTAAAATTAAGACGTTAGGGATAAGAGGCACATTAATGAGGGGTAGATAAAATTAGAGAGAAGGGCGGGAGAGTGGCAAATTTAGAAAACTTAAGGCGAAGAAAATGTGCGCCATTAATTTGCCGTAATAATAAGGGGGAGTGTAGAGAGAGAAACGTAAGGGCTCCGACCCCCGACCAACAGACATATCACGAATCTTGTGAGAGAAAATACAGGTCGTAGGTTTTCCCCCTAGAGGCCTCGCCTCTTCACGTGACGCTCTCTCTCTCTCTCTAGAATCACTCTTTCTCTCTCTACAACCGCTCTCTATCCTTCATTGTTTCTCTCTCTTACGGCCTGCAAGCCTTCCCTTTACTGAGCTTCTCTCTGACTGAGACTGTAGAGAGAGAGAGCGGGTCTCTCCGAGGTAAGAGTAACAAAATGCAGCAACATCTCATGCAGATGCAGCCTATGATGGCCGCATACAACAACATCACTACCGATCACATTCAGAAGGTACTCTTACTAAGCCCTGTTACTCCTCTCTCTCTCTCTCTCTATGTTTCAGTGTTGTGTTTTTGTGCCCTTTTTTTTTGAGTTTTTGTACTTTGAACTTTTTTAGCCGCTGTTTCTCTGGTCTCTCTCTCTAAGTTTCAGAGTTGTGGTTTTTGCCCTTTGGTTTGAACTTTCAGGTTTTCTTTGTATTTTTCTGGGATAATGTTTTGTATGTGTAGTGTGATTCTTGTATGCCCTAGTTTTCTGGTTACTTGGGTTTTGATGGATTGTTGAATTGATCTGTTGGTCTTTTTCTCTGTTGTCTGTTGAAATGTTTCTGGTTTCTTCTAGACAGAGACGTCATTCTTTGGGTTTTTCTTGTGATTTAAGCTTGTGAAATTCGTTTTTGCAAGTACTCAGAGGAAATAGAGACCTCTTGAATGTTCCAGGGAAGACAATGGTGTTTTCTAAGTAAAAGAAGGAAAAATAAATCGAAAGTGGAAAATTGAAGAAAATCTTTTCTGTACTGGAGAATTGCCTCTTTAGCCTAAGGACTGATAGTCTCAGAGGTTGGTTTTTCCTTTCTTTGTTGTTTTGGGTAGGTCAGGTTATGGAGGCCTTAACTAGGAATCTTTGGCATAAACTAAGTGAATTTAATTGTTAGAAATGTAGGATAATGACTTGTTGACTTCCATTTTCATAATAAAGGGTTTCTGGTTTTCAGTACATGCAGGGCCCCAACTATGTAGTGCTATAACTACTTAGCGAATCATTTTTTTTTGGTGATTGTTTATCTTAGAGTTGCTTGCTTGTGTTTTTGGTTAAAGATTGCGGTGCTCTATGAGCTTATGGTTTTTTGGAATGTGCATATGGTTGATGTATCCGGGGTTTTGTTCTTCTCTCCTTGTCCCGTATGATCTGGAGATCGCTTAAAGCACAGGTCAAGGAGATTTTCATCTGTATGGAAGTGCCGTTGACCTTTGCTTATGTGAGTGCAAGGATTAAACTGAGTCATGTGTCCTTGTCTTTTCTTTTGTTTGAAGCATTCATGACTGCTGATTTAGTTCACTAACTCTGTTCTGATTTTTGAATATGTGATTCTTTTGCCCATGTTGGGTATGTTAATACGACATTCGGGCTATTTGAGGAATAATGTATTGATGATTTTGGGGTTTTCCTTGAAAAAAAAGTTTCATCAATTATGCTTTCCCTTGTCCTTGGCATTTTGGATCCTGTGGATGTCTAGACTTAAGACGGCTTTCAATGGGATCTCAATTTCCTGCTTTCCTTTTATAAGCACTAAATTGAAAGGATTCCACTCATTAAAATGGCTTGTTGAGGGTCAGTCACTTGCATTACACTTTTTTATCTAGACAAGTTATTTCATGATATCACTTATATTTCAGACTTTTTATAGGTAGTGGGTTTGATTGTTTCCATGAGTAGTCAATGATTTTTGTCTTTGTCTAGGCTGTGTCCCATTCCAGTTTGTGTTTCATGTCCTTTCACTTCTAGGATAAAAAATGGATCCGCTTTGAATAAATTGATTTTTTTTACTTTTCACAATATTGCTAGATGGAGCTTGCAGTTTTTAAGGGAAAAAAAAAAAGGTTTCTTGGTGAAGGCTTATAAGTTGTGAACTGGCTTATAAGTTGTGAACTTTCTTTTGCTCTTACATGTTCAAAGCTTCAAAGTGGTAGTTTTGTTCAGAATGCCAAAAAATCATCCTATTCAAATAACTGAATTTAGATACATCTGAATTGTGTTTAAACTCCCATGCCATTATCATCTATATTTTTTTATCTCCTTAGGAACCTATCCACTGTTAATTGATAAATAATATTTTCAGAGGAAGTTCCCTAATTTGAGAGCTATTTTCTTTTTCCACTGGATTTTCTCAGATTATAACTTTTTTTTCTTTTTTGGTCCATGACTGCATGGGCTTGCAAGGATCATGTTACTCCTTATTGTGGCTGTTTTATATAAAACTGTATCTCTAGTTTACTTTCAGTTCTTGGAATAATGATTACCAGATTTGTCCAAAACTTATGTGCTGTATGGCGATAGAACATTCTATCTTTTTTATTTGCTGAGACTGAAAAAAGATATTTGGAAGTCTTCTATTCATGAGGTTTCACTATTGGTTTCCTCTTAAAGTTATGTCTCCCTCAGGATATATTTATCAGTGCATTCATTGTGTTTAATCAGCAAATTCAACATCTTTGTTGAATCATATAATTACATGCAAGGATATTGTTGTTTTGGTTTTGTTTTGTGCGTGTGCATGTGCGTGTGCGTGTACGTGTGCGTGTGCATGTGCATGAATGTGTGTGTGTGTGTGTGCGCATGTTTGTTTGTTTGTTTGTTTGAATCCTCTATTGGTTGTTGTCTTATGATCTCCATTTGGTTTCTAGGATATAATGAGGCTTGGATCGATGTCCATGAATCACTCTATTCCCCTCCTGTGTCATTTAGGTTGACAGACTATTCTCTTTTCCTTATCTATTGAAGACTAAGGGGTATCAAAATATGCTCATTTATGTTAAAAAAATTGTTTGAGTGATGAAAATGTTCCAATAGGAACAACCACATATATTTGTATGCATGAGAGAACAACTAAACTACCTTGAGAAGAACTACATGTAAAAATAAACAAAATAATGAAAAAGGAGCTAAGATTCTTTAAAGCATATATGATACTCTGTTGTCCCACTCTAATTCAATATCACTGTCCAATAATTAAATAAGATTGAGGGATAACACTAAAAACAATGTCGTCTTAGGAATTTGGCCTACAAAAAATATGATTCCAAGTTATTTTGGCAATGAGGTTACTCATAATTTGTGATGATTTGCATTTGCATCAACTTTTCTCTGTCTATTCCTCACATGTTGGGTGGAATCATTTGTCAGATTATTCATGCATATGCTTATGAGGTTAGACATGATCTGCCTACCTGCTCCATTTGCCTTGCTCCATCCTCCCTTTATTATGTTCTTGGGGTGGTAGTTTTAAATCTGCACTTGTAGGGGTAGTTTTGCAGTTTTGTGGTGACTAGAGTCATATAAGGGACATGTTTGCATCTAGAGTTTATGAATTGTGAAACTCTACCCAGATCTAAGACATGTGCTGCAAATTTTGGATGTGCGATGCAAGCTATGACTCTTGGATACTTGTTCGGCGTAGTATGACCCCGATACTGATCAAATATTCTCTTTCTCTCCCTCTCTTTTTTTTTGTGTACATGCTTGGATACTTTTTCGAAATATTTTTACTAGGTTTAACCTCTGCGGCTCCCAATGAATGAAAATTTGGCTGCCTTGCCGCCTTGGCGGCCATTTTTCCAAACCTCCTAGGCGTGGACTAGGCGGTATGTTCTAGGCGGGCCCATCTAGGTGCCCGCCTAGGCAGCGTAAAAGGCGGGCACCTAGGTGCCACCTTGACCCTTGGCGAAAAATGGCACTCGGCCATTGGATAAAAACATTATTTTATCCCTAAATAGGGGGAAAAGAGTTTTGGGGCTCATTCTTGCCACCAAAAACATGTTTAGTGAAGTTTAGAGTGAGAAACATTGAAAAAAAAATAAGATTTAAAGATTTATAGAGAGATCGACATTGAAATTTTTTTCAACCTCCTCGAATGGTCATGAAATTAAAGTATATTCATCCCCAATCTTTTTGATGCTTGGTTGTAAAATAGGAGATTTGGGTACAAAAATATTTTGGTTTGGCCCGATATCGATTCCACTTCAAGAAAGTTGGTATATTTCAATAGTTTTTATTAGGTTATATATATATATATATATATATATATATATTTATAATATCTCATAATGTTATCCTTTGTTATCTGTATTTTTTTGTGAACAATAGTATGTATAAAACTTACTTATTAAATAAAAAATAGTCAATTCTATAAACAATAAAGTGGGGGGAGGTGTGGGGGGTTCATCAAACCGCAAGGATCTGCCCCTTCCCCAATGCAGGTCGCCTTTGTGTCTGAGCGCCAGCCTAGGCAGCCGCCTTAACACCTAGGCAGCCCCCTTAACGCCTAGGCAGCCAAGACCCTTGACCGCCCGCCTATGCGGCCCAGACCCCTGACTGCTTAAGCAGCTGCATCCGTGTTTTTGAACCTTGGCGGCTCCAATACCTCACATAAGGCTCAAACCTGGCCAGTTCCTGCCCTGGTAGGCCAATACTCTTCTACTCTCATGATACTTCATCATTATCCGAGCCTTATCCCAATGGTTTGGGGTCGGCTACACAAATCATATTCCGCTATTTTCCTTTATCAATGATCATACCCTCAGTTAGACTACAAATCACCATATCTTTTCTCATTACTTCCATCCATGTCCTTTTGAGCTTCCTTTTGCCTTTTTAGAGCCTTATAAATGTAACATGATATAAACTATAAAAAATGTTATTGTGAATAAAATATAAATTACGTTATAATAGGGCATATATTTTATCAACATGTTTATACATTACATACACATACACATATATAGGAAACCATGTGTCGTGGCAGTTCTATGACTCCAAATTTGCACAAGCACTTTCTTTATCCAAACAATCAAACACGAAAAGAAACATTGAATTTGCACCTCAGATAAGGTCAAAATAAATTCCTCTCTGACAATGAATCCAAACCGTTCATTTAGTGGATATCAACAATTGAGGCTATTTTCCTACTTAGGCAACTGATTGAGAAGTTTAGGGCAAAGGAAAAAGATTTCCACATGGTCTTTATTGATCTAGAGAAAGCTTATGATACAGTACCTCGAGAATTTGATTTGGAGAGTGTTGGAAAAGAAAGGAGTCTCCAGACATTACATCGACTTGGTGAGACATGTACGATGGAACGCTAGCTAGTGTACGGACAACTTGTGGACAGACGAGTGGGTTTTTAGTGACAATAAGTTCACATTAGGGGTTAGCATTGAGCCTATGCCTCTCTATTTTAGTTATGGATGACTTAACTAGGCACCTACAAGATGAGGTATCGTGGTGCATGTTGTTCGCAGATGACATAGTTTTGATGGATAAGACCCGAAACAACGTTAACACAAAATTAGAGCTTTGGAGGGATGCTCTAGAAACTAAAGGTTTTAAAATTAGTCGGACTAAGACAAAATATATGGAATGCAAGTTTAATAATAATAGGAGTAGAGATGAGAAAGTTGTCATGATTGACGACTAGGAAATACCAAAAAGAGTGCATTTGCAATATCTTGGATAAATAATCTAGGAAAAGGGCGAGCTTGAGGAAGATGTCATACATAGAATTAGAGCTAAGTGAGCGAAATGGGATGTGCAACTAGAATTTTATTTGGTCGCCGCATACCAATGAAGCTGAAGGGCACTTTCTATTAGACAACTGTAAGACCAGCTTTGCTATAGGGCGGAATGTTGAGCGGTCAAAAAACAATATACCCATAGAATGAGAGTAGTGGAGATGAGGATGTTGAGATGGATGAGTGGTAAGACAAGAAGGGATAGAATTTGAAATGAATACATTAGGGAAAATTTAGGTGTTGCACCAATAGGCGATAAGATGAGAGACAATAGACTTAGGAGGTGCGAGTTAGTTCAAGTAGAAGGCTCAAAAAGGGCAAAGGGTAGGCTCAAAAGGACATTGTTGGAAGTAATGAGAAAAGACATGGGGACTTATGGTTTTACTAAGGGTATGACCCTTAATAGAGCAAAATGGCAGACAAGGGTTCGTGTAGCCGATTCTAATTAGTTGCGAAAAGGCTTTGACTGTGATGATGATATTTTGGGATAAAAAATTCCCTGCGAGTCCTAGATTTAATTACCCCATCAAATGGACGGCCTATATTCATTTGATCAGAAATTTTTTTTGTATGTTGCGTTTTTCAAAATCTGGTTTTTTGAGTTTGTTCATCAAAATGAAAAGTGTGTATGTTTAAAAATTGGGATCCAACAAATGCTCCCAACATGATTTTTGAAGGTGCATTTTATTTTATTATTATAAAACCTTTGCATGAAATCATACCCCCTATGTGAGCTAATTATAATAGTCACTAATTAATTTTATATATAAGTAGATATAGACATGCATGTGGTGTTTGGATTTGTATGTATTTGTCATATTGGACTTGGCAAAATATAGGTAGGTGAGTCAGATTCTTCAAATCGAGTCATACACAAATTCTCGGATCCATGTTCTTGTAACGTAGGTTCTTTGCCATGTCATATAAAGACCTCTTGGTGCTTCCTAGTTTGTCAAGAACTAGCTATTTAAGTCGCCAGATTCTTGAAGGCATGTATACATTTGTGCTGGATCTTAACTTTTATGTTATTTATTTATTTCTTTAATACCATATCTTTTGAGCAAGAGCCGTTAACCTAGTATGTTTAACTGTCCCTTGGAAAGGTCCATTGGATATGGTCTTTTGAGTCAATCATGCCTTGGCTTAATGGTGAGGCACCCATTTTTCAGTGAGAAAGGTCCTGTGTCTGTAAAACTCTCTCGTAAACCCTGATGACCTAACCCCCAAGAAATATAAAAACTTGAACGTTCGTGACATGTTATATCAGTGAATAGTTTTCTGTTTGGTCATAAGTGAATAGTTTTCTGTTTGGTCATAATTCTTTTGGCATGGTGGGCTTTAGGAAATAATACATATAGGTAGAATGATGACAACCAAAGAAATCAACCAATAAATAGAACAAAAATGGTCATTTAGGATTTTTAGCTGCTCATAGGATTCTTTTGGCATCTTAACTCCAAGAGTTTTCTTTTATGTTTGTCTGGATGGGTGATCTGATGATAGAAAGTCCAATGCCAGATCTGTAATATATGCGACAATATTGCCTCAAAGTGGGATGTGAGACATGTTGCAATACATGAGTAGACAAGATGGAACAGAGCAATAGCGGTATCCTATTGTTAGTGAGGAAAAGAATCCGTGCTATCTGGTGGTAGGTATACTTTCTGATGAACCAATGTAGGGCATTTTGGTAATTGTTCTTTCACTAAATGATGCTTAAATTCTTGTTTTGAATTAACTGTAGGTTAGAAGAATGTTATTTTCTATATTTGGACAAGAAATACTCAGCTGTTGATAAACCTTTGATGCTGCATTTATTAATTTTAAGCGAAGAGATTAGCTTTTTTCCATCTCTTTTTTATTGGAACATGCTGTGTTTTATTTGGCATGGTGATGGTTAATATTGCTGAATTTATTTATTGATTTGTGTGATGTTTGAGTTCTTAAATGTTCTTACTTGTTTAGCATGCTGTCCTAGCATGTAACTACCCTGACATATGGTCTTCTGCAGAGATGGATCGAATTTATGCCCGAATCTGCCATCCACCTGAATGTTTTTTGCACTTTTTCTTCATAAGCAATTGACTTATGGGAAGCTAGACAAAATCAACAGTTTCAAATCTATACTATATTCAATTAACCTTTATAGAAGTTTTAGATATATCAAACACTAAATAGCTCTTTCCAAATACATCCATATATGCTAGCAAAAAGATATACCTGTATGTTCATGTCCTATTTTCATAATTGGGCCCTTATTAATTCTATTCTCTAAAGAATCTTTGCTGCAATCCTTTTTATGAAATGTCTCTTGTTGATAATGTTTGATGTTAGTTTGGCACTATTATTGAATGAAACCAGGTGAGTTACCAGACACAAGAAGGAAATAAAAACTGAATTTTGATTGTGAAGAATCAGTTCTTTTTAGCTCATTCTGCGTCTTTTTTGTGTAATCAAGTGGCTTACATGTCTACCTTTTACTGGTTCCCGGACTAACTTCTGCATTGTTTACAGTACTTGGATGAAAACAAGCAGTTGATTCTTGCAATTCTGGATAATCAGAATCTCGGGAAATTGAGTGAATGTGCCCAGTAAGTATGGCTTGCTATTGTTATTTTGTGTTTTGATTTTTCAAAAGTATTTGCTCTTTTGATGTTTGTCTGTATACAATGGCTGCTTTGACCTTGATCTGATAGGGAATGGCTGGTTGTTGACATGCTTTATGGATTTTCATATGTGGATCACTTATCTGTTTTGATTACGTATTGACTGGTTACCTTTCCTTATTATTTGGCGTCTATTTGTTCCCTGGTTAAAACTTGTATGATTTTGCACTAATAAACAAGTTTCATTTGTTTATTATAAATGATTGTTTTCTATAGTTAAATTGCTTATTCAAGTTCATTCATTTTTAATTGCCTTTCTTGTTTGAGATTTTTCTTCATACTTGTCAAATATTTCTGGCCTTAAATTAGAATATTCATGTTCCTCAGATTCTAGTTTCCTTATTATAATTAGCTTGTGAGGAAGCTTTACCTATTATAAAGGTTCATTTAGAACCTTTACTGATTAATACGTCTTTGATAATGTGAATGGATTGAACTAAATTCTTTCCTGGATTCTACATTTGTTTCACATGAAGAAAAAATAATTGCTTCTTCTATTGATGTTTAAAACCTTTACTCACTAAGTGAAATCATATTGATTAATGCTTCATTGATAATGTGAACATCTTTTTGCAGATTTTACTGTTTATTTAATGGAAATGGTAAATGGTTTGGTGGGGCTGTAGCCCTATCAAAATAAGTAAAGCGTCACCTCATAATTCATCAAAAATTACAATTCAAGCATTGAATATATTAGTTGTGAAAAAAAAAAGGATTTTAAGCTGTAAAATTCATGTATATTGTAACAAATTATCTAGACTGCCCATTTCACCCTAAAATCAAATGTTCATAGATCCGCAAGATTTGCACCATTTTTTGAGTTTCAAATTTTATTATTAGTGTTGGAAATTGATTTAGATCCATCATGGAGATTCCGTTGCTGAAAGTGCTCGACGAGGATATGAGGTGAGGCTTTATTTTGTTGTCATGAAGCTTAGGCCTTATAGAAATGTCATCCTTATTTTAATTAAGAAAATAATTGATTCTTTTCTTGATGTTTATAATTTGTCAGAAATATTATCTGGGTTAAGTCATGTGATCTTTCTTTATAGAAGCAAGCTTCCTACTATAGAATTTTAAATATAAATCGGGAAATTTAGAGGACACATCTCAAGTTTCATTCCTATGTAACCTTTTCAAAAAAACAATTTAGAGGACACTTGAATGGGGGATAGCTGTAGTTACAGTGGATAATGCAAAATATCAACCTGTGGGACAATGTGATAGTTTTTGCATACGGCACTGCTAGATACTAAAATTTTGGGAAACTTCATTGTACACACATTTTGGAATTGACAAATTTGATAATTAATTTTATATTCTTAGCTTACTACTTATCTTGTGGCATGAATAGATCTGTTTTTCTGAAAAATGAGATTGATCAATTTTTGCCATTCCATTATGGTTTTTTTTAGTTTTGTTTGTGTTTAAAAATTCGACAATCTCATCCAGATAGGGAATCGTCCTGACTGTTCCGGATCCTTAAATATATCAGGATCCGAACGGTCTGCCCCTGAACCCGTTGGTCGAACCGGTTCTTACGTTATCGAACCGGTTCTGACATCACGGAAACACGTTTTTTTTTTTTGAAACACGTTATACCTAAAATGTTTTTTGATTTGTGGGCCCTAAAATCAATATTTGGCCCCAACTATACGTTGAGCTTGCGTCCCTCTCAACCAAGTACAATATTAAAATGATGGGGAGCTTGCCCATTAAACAAAAGTCTTCTTCAAGTGGTCAATGTAGGATCATTCCCACTTCCTGCTTTGTGCTCGCAAATGGGGAGAGACTAATCAATTGCCCATCAAAATAATACTACAATATTATTTAAAACTACACATGCAAAGAGGATCAAGTTCTAAAATTATAGCCCTTAAACTGGCCTTAAGCCCCAATTGCGCCTTGAGATTGCTCGTTATAGCCCTTTTTTGAGTCACATTTATTATAATTTATAATTAATAATTATATTAATTACATTGATAACCAAATCTTATATTTTATTTATTAATTTATTTATATTATAAATTATATAATGTATTATTTTTTGTTATAGATGTAAATTAGATTTTTTAAATTTGATGATATTATAAGAGAAATTTCAAATTTATCCTTATTTGTATAGTAAGATGATTATAAAATATAAACCAGTAATTCCAATTTCAATGTATAATGTTATAGTTAGTTAGGTTGTGATAATTTTGGCCGAGTAAAGAGAATTAATAAATGTTTGATGTAATGCTAATTTCACTATGAGAAATTATTATTTTTTAATATTATAATATGGAAGTTTTTTCTAATATTTTTAAGGAAAATTGTTTCATGTGGGCTGGACCGCATTTCTACATATGCGGTCGAGAAAGAGTAAAGCATCCATCTTAAAGATGGATGCAAGAAGGTGTTCCATCTAAAACAATGGAAACTAACGGTCCAAATGTTTCTTACTTAGAATTATTATTTTAGTTTTAAATTTATTTAATTTTTCTATATTCTATAATCTCCTATGTTAGAGTATACATGT